CATTCAAAATCTTAATAATAATAATATTAATAATAATAATAATAATAATAATACCAGTCAAATAAGCGGCAATATATAGTCTTAGCTAAACCATCTCTACTAACTGCTGCATTTTCAGGATCAAGACTTCTCTTGATGACCTCTTCTGGGGTGACCATCACCCGCTTCAATAATGCATCTTCTAACGCAGCAGAATCACACCTGATAAAAGTATAATGACTATCAAGACTTTGATTTCACTCATTACATTATAGGTTTAAAAACAGAAAGCAACTCATGCACTATTTTTTGCATACATAAGAAGCTCAGTTGTTGTCTGAAGATGGAATTTTGATTGGTCATCTTTAAGAACTGATGAGTCAATTTCTTTTCCTTTTGCGAATGCAATGTTGCCGAGATGAAGAATCGCAGCCACAACTCTAAAAATTGCTTCCTGGGGTGAGAAAGAGAGTAACTTGCTGCTTGTGATTAAAGAATATTAAAAGCGGGGACGGGGACAAAACAAGAGATGTAGAGTGGAGTATTAGTTATGAAAATATACTTGATGTGTATCACTAATCCCAACAACGTCCATAGCTCTTCTTGTTGCAAGATAATCATGAGCGTCACTCACACCAACCAGCTCATAACAACTTGATTGATTCAAGTAATGAAACGATTTGGGATCCCCTAACTTGTATTTTTTAATTTCCTGACAACAAATTCAAAACTGCTGTCAAAAAAACATTGGGTATGAAATACAATTATGAAATGATTAACAGTGGATCCAATCCTACAAAGTTTATCTCATAAGGAGATGATGATTGTTTGAGGTTAGTTAGACTTGGAGTTTCATCTCAACCTTGAAAATAGTAGTAGAACAATGTACGCAATGGTGTATTCAAAGACGGTAGGGGGCACCCGTCTTCACTTATTCAAAGTATATAATAAGCGAAAGTAAAAAATTTATATTTAGTCCAAAATTTCAAACTTGTGATTGGAATGTTTAGAAACGGTTCTGTACTGCATACTCTAACAATAACTACAACAAGGATTAAACTAAATTTGGGAGATTCTACATAATGTGGGAGACAGTAATGCAAGAAGAAGAAGAAGAAGAAGAAGAAGAAGATCACCTCCTGTGGCGCAGCACAGAGAAGATAGAAACAGTGATAATTCCGCTCAGGATCTGAGACCTGGCAAACACGAGACCTCTCCAGGAGATATGTTCTAATGGCTGCTCCCGATATTTTTGCATTCTTGTCGAATTGAATCTCAACGAATTTCCCAAAACGACTGCAAATCAACAACCGCTCAATCAATGCGGAATCGCATTTCGTTTTAAGCAATTGAAAGAAGAAAAGCTAAACATTCCATCTCTTCGATCTTCCTTCAGTTGCCTGTGAATGAGGTAATGAAATCAATGAAAATGCATCGTTTTTAGCCCTAATCTGACCTCGAATTGTTGTTTCGAACCGTCTTCGCATTCCCAAATGCTTCCAGAACTGGATTTGACTGCAAATATAAGGAGGGAAAATAAATTCTCCATTTAAGAATCTGGCATTCGCCATGGATGTGTTTAAGCTAGTTAGCAGCTTGACTAGCTTGAAGCCTTGAAGTCCATTTATATACATTAAAAATGTAGATAAAAAAACTCTTCAAATTAAAAAGTTACTCCGTATAAAAATATTTTATTTTATCAATAATGAATAAAAAATTTTGTGATTTTTAAAGAGTAAATTATACTCGGTAACATTTGTTTTAGACATAGGTAGTATTGTCTTCCACTTAGAGCAACTCCAATGGGAGGAGTATATGAAAGGGTAAAGAGGAATAACTTTGATATATACCTCTTTTCATTAAAAATTATTCTCCAATGGGAGAGGTAAATAAGGAGGTATTATACATTCTTCAATTTTAAAGAGGTATCTTTACCTTCTTCATTTGGGGAGGTATATCAACTTTTCCCACCTTTTAAATTTATTTAATCAATTACTTTAGTTATTGTATTTTTGCTTGAATGTATTATTATAAATTTTTAATTTGTATCTTTGTAATTATAAAACTTAACGAGTCAAGAATTAACAAAAAAAGGATACTTTGTTTTTTAATTTTGCTCTCTATATTTTTTTAGTTTTTTCTATTCAGGTATTTATAACTTTACATGTGCAATTAGACATAATGTATATTTAATTATTTCAAAACTGACATTCTAATTTTTTTTCCCCAATAAATTAGTAGTATTTTTATAAAATCTTTAAATTTAAAAATTTAAGCAAGAAGAGACAAAGGCAACAAACCTCAAATTTACCTCCCCATAATTTTTTTAAGAATGTATATTTTCTTTTCTAATAATTAAAATTTTATTTAAGAAGGTAAATCAACTAATTTTTGCCCAATAATGTATGGAGATAAATTTTTTCCCTCTTTTGCTTTTTGATTTACCTTCTCCCATTGGAGTTGCACACTTTTTGGAAAGGTAAATTTGTTCACTTGGAGAGATAAATGAGATATATACCTCTCCAAGATACCTCCCACCATTGGAGTTGCTCTTACAATCTCCCATGGAGTCACTCGATTTGTGTTTGGATTCACTTTGAGTTAGTTTTTTTTATTTTTTTAAACAAGTGTTTTTTATTCGTTCTCTGTGTTAATAAGCCGACTTATGAATTGCTTATAAATTTTAAAAAAATAAGTAGGTTTTACAAATATATTTTTGAACTAATTTTTTTTTGTTTTGACCAGATTATTTACATAATTATTCGTCACCATTTATGATTATGAATACTTCAAATAACTTATCTATCATTTAAATTATTTTATTTTTCATCAAATATTCGTAATATTTAACTTATAAAAAATTTATAAGTTAATAACTATTTATAAGAAATAAATTAATAAATACCAACACATTCTGTTTTAATGTACTCCCTCCGTTTCTCAAAACATTTTTTCTTTCATTTTTTTGTTTTGCTCAAAATATTTCCACTTTCTATTAAAAATTATTTTTATTCATACCTTTTCTAACTCTATCTATTACACCAGATTTTTTTCATTAATAATTTATTCATCACATCTTACATTTACCAATCACATCAAAGACAAAATTAAAAAATCAACCCATAAATATATATACTCTTTATTTCTACTAAAAGTTAAAATGTGAATTTTATGAAAGGAATGAATACTAGTTACCTACCTCAAGAACTTGTTGTTCAACGGTGCGACCTTCAGTGCCTTTGCGGCCACCCAAATAGGCCAAATACCGCATAAGCATTTTTGTGGTCTCCGTTTTACCGGCTCCACTCTCTCCGCTCACCAATATCGAGTTACTCTTCCCCTCGTTCAGCATTGCCCTGTTCTTATCATTCATTAATTAATTCACTCATAAATCACATAAATCTACATTATGTTACTCCCTATTTAATACTCTTTTTGTCCCAAAAAAAATTACCCGGAGTATAACATTTTGACTGTTTTAGTCAAATTATGTAATTCATTGTCAAATAAAATTAAACTATGATAATCTTTTTGGAACTTACAAAAAGTCGTAATTTACATTTTCAAAATAAGACGAATGACCTGAAAGCCACGTCAGCAATGGCAAAGACATGAGGACTAAGCTCTCCGAGAGGGGCTCCTTTGTATTGTTCCATCATGTGGACGTCATAAATGTGGGGTAATTTTTGGAATGGATTAATCGCAATTAGTATGCTCCCCGTATATGTCTACATGTCCATATATGCCATAATAACAAATTAATTAGAGCATATCAATTACCAAATTTTATTTAATAGATAGAACATTAACTTAATTAATGGGTCGAATCACCAGTCATCATTTTTTTATGATATATTGGTTGTATCACGTACATAAATTTCATTGAGTTGGTATCGTGTCTTCAAGTTTTGCAACACTCCGGGTTCGTGCAAATACGACAGCTTCGTCATGTCGTCCACCCCTCCCGCAGGAGCATCCTCGTCCTTGGGATATATTTTTGATAAATCCGCCACCACCTTCATACGCAAATATCCATTACAACATATAATACTAGCTATTTACATGCGCATAGCGGGTGATTTACGTGAAGCCAACGTGAGAGATCTTTTTTGGGAGAATAAGAGTGTTGTGTATGTACCTGTCTCCCATCTGTTGTATCGACGTGGACTTGTTGCCCGTCGATCTTTGAGACACGCCCATCAATCCAAGCAAGCGACGAGTCCTCGACCCAGATCTGGGTCCCCACAATTATGTTCACCGATTGCATGTTCTTGTTTTTACGTGCCTGACTCCGATGAAGAAGAAGAAGAAGGTGATGATGGTAATGATTCGAAGAACGCGGAAGAACGTTATTCCGGCATGCATGGAAATTAAAGGGAAGAAAGTAAGGAGAAGAAGGAATCAAGAAAATAGCTAGTGTATATGCTTGCTTCTTATGGAATAGTAATTAAGTTTTTAATAAAACAAAAAAAATGAAAGAAAAAAAGTGAGGTATTGTAATTAGCTGATTAAGTGTGATTAACTCCCTTAATTGTTGTTAGAATTTGGGGAAATTTTTTGCACATTTAACGTAAACCACGTTGTGAACATACACGTGTTGTTAAATAACTGCAGGCTAGGCATCTAAGAAAAATAGGAAGAGGGTAAATAAATGGAAGCCACACACTTTACTTTTAACTATATAATTATTCTTGCACCACTAAGTACCTATAATTAAGGAAAGAACAAGCTAGATAGGTAATTAATTAGGTGATGAATGCATGAAACTAAATTAACTGGATTTGTCGGCATTAATAAATATATATTCTCTCGGTATAATAAAAGTCTTTACACATTTATTTTGTTAGTGAAATTGATAAACCTTTTACCATTAATAAATATATCATTTCAAATAAATAAATAAATAAATAAATAAATAAATGTTACTATCTCCGTGTTTTAAAACAATTTCTCTTTCATTCTTGACAAATACTTTTATTTTTGAAAAAAAACATGTCTAAATAAAATCATTACAATATACTTCATACTTTTTACATTAAAATATTCCGAAATAAGTGATTTGTCTCTCTTTTTTAATGCTACATATATAATTTAAAAGTCAAGTTACAAAATTAAATATTACAAAAGATCACATGTTTGATCTCCGGTGAAATTTATAAGTCTATGTGTTTAATGAATGAAAAATGTATGAACAAATATTATAGTATACTCCCTCCGTCCCTGAAAGTATTTCTCCATTCTTTTTTCATCCGTCCCAAAAAACACTTCTCATTTCTATTAAAAAGTCACTTTTACCCCTTACTTTTTCATACCCTATTTATCACATCATACCTTTTTACTAATAATCTATCCATCAAATCATACTTTTACCTATCACATCAAAGGACATTTTTGGAAATTCAATACCAAAATACACTCTCCTTAAATCCCTCTTCAAAATCAAAACTCCCGTGTTTTCCAGGATGGAAGGAGTATTATATTATGGTTATTAGTGTTAAAAACACACATGCATTCACTTATTTTTTTTCTTCCTTTGTCATATAATCCTCTATATATTTTGACTTTTTTTAGTCAAACGGTAACACCATTTGTTATAAATTAAATATTATTTAAATGAATAAAGGTTAAATGAATTTGATTTATTAAAACTATATTCTAACTTATGGATATCCTGACCATAGAATCGGCCTTGGGCGGCCCAAATGCAATTCCGAGGCCCAACAATGATGAAACCCAGCTTATCCCAATTCTGAAACTTGAAGGAAGGTCGAAGCCTAAAGATTGGACAAAGTGACAGGCCGAATGCTGACCCAAAACGATGGGTGAGACCCAGTACAAAAAGAAGACGTGATTCCCCATATCGTGGAATTGAGGGGAGATTGACGATCAATTCGCTGCTACGATCGATGCACGATGGACGAATTACCAATTATGTAGCGCACGAAATTACCTGCTTTGTATACGATAGAATTAGACTATAAATAGAGGATAAATCTTACCTACGCCATAGATGTTGAACTAAATTTTAACACTAACCTGAACTTAAGTGTGTTGAATTTTCCTTTTAATTAAGAAAAATTTACCTAAAATAATCCCAACTTTACCCGGTCTTTCAAAAATAATCCCACCTTTCACTGTGATGCATAATAATCCCAACTTTACTTAAATTTGCCAGTTTTGGGTCGCCGTTAAGTTTCTAACGGAGGGTTAATGGAAATGTCCGTTTTAGGCAACAAAATGAAAGTTGGGATTATTTTTGATGAATTTTCATTTTTTTTATTTTTTTAAATTTTTCATTTAAATTTTTTAAACTACTTTCTACCTCCATTATCATTTCTTTTTCCTTTTTTAAAGATTAATCTTAGTTCAAAAAATAAGAATAATAGATATAAAAATGAAAAAATGAGAAATGTAACTAAAATGATACAAAAATAATAAAATAAATAAGGTAATCAATGGAAACTAACTTAAAATTAGTAAAAGTAAAACAAAAATATATGGGTGGGTTTTATATTTTACGCATTATACAAAGTATTAACATATCACTTCTTATTATTTAGAAAAAATTATCTACGATAATTCCAACTTTACCGGACGGCTTGTTCTTTTAAAAAATAAGTAGTACATTAAGACTCCGTATAACGTGTAAAATGTTAAAACCCACCACTCCGTATATATTTATTTTATTTCTTACCAGTTTCTGTTTAATTTATATTGATTACATTATTTATTTGATTAATTTTGTATAGTTTTAGTTATTTTTCTAATTTTCATTATGTTTATATCTATTTTTTCTAAGGTAAGAATAATCTTTAAAAAAGAAAAAAAAATGGAGGTTGAAAGTAATTCAAAAAATTTAAATAAAAATTTCAAAAAAAAAAATTAAAAACAAAAATTCATCAAAAATAATCCCAACTTTCATTTTGTTGTCTAAAACGGGCATTTCTGCTAACCCTCCGTTAGAAACTTAACGGCGACCCAAAACTGGCAAATTTCAATAAAGTTAGGATTATTATGCATTACAGTGAAAGATGGGATTATTTTTAAAAGACCGGGTAAAGTTGGGATTATTTTGGGTAATTTTTCCTTTGATTAAACATACTTTCTTTCATAATTTGTTATAAAAAAATGTTATTACTCCATATTTGAATATTTGATTTTAAAAATTAAAATAGGATAGAGTTTATGAGATGGGGGAGGGACCGAAGGGGGAGTGATAAACAAGAAGTTCAAAAGGTCAATTCTTGCACAAGAAGAAAGGAGTGCTGCTGTTCAGAAGTAGAATTCCCAGGGCAGCCATGGAAAAGAGGTCGCCGGAGAAGGCGAGGCTCTAAAAGATGCGTATTTATTACCCCATATGCGCTTTAGTTTTATACATAGCAGCAATTGATCTGTATACGAATTGAAGAATAGTTGTCTTCAACGATCATCTCTTTTATTGGAATTCCACAGTTCGATTCCGCTATCATTCTTGCTGCAACGATCTTAGCGAAATCGTATAGTTCTTCGTTCGAATCATCGAGGGATATCATATACTCGGACATATCATATGGCTCCTCCATGTTCGACGGTTTCTGGGCAGCAATCGCGACCTCGAACCCTAACCCTAACTTTTATTCCGGGTCTACCGAACGATTTGGCGGCTTTGATTTTGTTGTTCGTCCCTTACTCCCATCATTCGCGCTTGAAATCTGTATCCAAGTCCTGGAGAATGCTGTTCTCATCCAGAACCATCATCTCTCTGCGCCGGAAGCTTCTTTCCCCTCCCAGACTCTCCCATTTTCTGTGTATATTCCCAGAAGATCCTTCCATTACATCTCCATGTCTGTTCGATCCCCAGAATCTCTCCTGGTGCTTGCTACCCCCCATGCCATGTAACCCTCATGTCTATGGTCTCTGCAATTTCACATCAATAGCCGTTGGGCCCCACCTGTACATCCTCGGCGGGTCTCTTTTCGATACGCGGACATTCCCACTCGACGTCCCGTCCCCGTCATCCTCTGCATTTCGGTTCAACTTTTCTGCTTCCTCTTGGGAGTCTCTGTCCCCCATGATCACACCCAGGGGCAGCTTCGCATGTGCTGCAATCCCTAATTCTGACAAGATTCTGGTTGCTGGGGGCGGTTCAAGGCACAAAGTGTTTGGGGCTGCTGGAAGTAGCTTGAGCTCTGTGGAGATGTATGATATCGGAAAGGATGTGTGGGTCCCTTTGGATGGGTTGCCAGGGTTCCGTGCAGGATGCGTGGGATTCTTTGTGGGCCACGGGGAGGAAGATCAAGAGTTCTGGGTGATGGGTGGGTATGGGAATTCAAGAACGATATCGAATGTCCTCCCAGTGGATCAGTACTACAAGGACGCTGTGGCGATGGAATTGAAGAATGGTGGGAAGTGGAAGGAGATTGGGGATATGTGGGAAGAAGGAGAGAGGGGCAGGCTTGGGAAGATTGTTGTTGTTGAGGGTGACGACTTCGATGCTCCTGCTGTTTTTATGCTGGAAGAAAGTAACATTTTCAGGTAAAATTTGCAATTTTCTAATGCAGAGTTTTGTTTGTTATACTTTTATCAAATTTTGAATATTGTTTCTTGAGTTGAGTTTTTGCTCCCTTTTTGAGTAGTTGCATTTGAGTACTTTGTTTTAAAAGTATGGGTTCATGAGTTCATCTACAACAAGTCTAACCACTTTCTATAATTTCCTCATCATTAGGCTTTATTTGTCATTAAATTATCAAATCTGAAGGTGATTTAGAGCTTGTATGGTAACACTATAAATTATTGTTTTGGCTTATTGTGCTAAAGCTATGGCTGAAATGGTTGAACTTGAACTTGATGAATTAACAAAAAAAATATATACTCCAAAAAAACCAAATAAAATAATATCTTCAATATAGTGTTGCAGATTTGAACTTGATCAAAATTTAATGGTTGAGATCAATACCAATATCATGGAGATGTTAGCTGACACACACACACCTTATACCCGAACAACATGAACCAACAAACAAATTAAACATCCTCGTTATGATATTGTACCAATAGCATTTGAACTTTTTTGAACTAATAAATATTTTACAGGTACCAGAGGAGCCCGAACCGGTGGTGGAAAGAAACCAGTTTACCCAAGAAAACCGCCGATGACAAATCAGTTGGGTTTGTTGGTTTGGACGGCGAGCTATATGTGATGACCGTTCTGAGTGGGACCAGTGCAGCTCAGTCCCATACTTCAAGGCAGCATAAGAGCCCATCAACCATATTGACACAAATTTATCATCCAAAGAAGAAGTCTTGGAGATTATTCACTTCGAAACCGCCCTTTAACCATTCGCTGGATTTCAGCACTGCCATTCTGTGTTCAATTCGTCTCTAGACGCTCAAATCTGGATTCCGTTACAATGCTCTGGTACGACTATGGTGTGTATATTTCTTGGACCATTTTGTTCTCATTTTCCGCTATGCAGCGCCTTATACGGGCTTGTGTATATACAATTATACATACTCAAGTGCATTTATCTTGGTGACAATAATGAAATTGAAAGAGTTTTCTTACTGTTATGGAGTCATTGGAGCCTGAATATTTAGTGGATAAATTCATTGGGGGTGGGGGACTGAACTTTTTTTCCTTTTCCTTAGGCACACTTGAAAAGACAGACATGTTCTTACTGAAGTAATTTACAAGAGTGAAAACTATGTGCCTGTTGGGGGAGTAAACCCCATGGTTGCCGTTGTTAGGAGTCAAACCTCGGCATTATCCCCTTATGCACCCCTTCTTTGCCATTTAAGCTACACTTCGGCGACAATGCCGAGCTCCACCACATTGGTGCATGCATGATTGTTGGATAATGTTAAGAAAATGAGGAAAAATTGTCAAAGGAAAATTGTTTTCTTTTATTCGCTTTACTTTGGAAAATACTTTTCTAAATATTCAGTATTTGTGAAGTCAAAATCCCAATTTATTTTTTTACCGAGGCACATAGTACATCTTTCATAGATCGTCTCAAATGTCATTTTTGTTTGTCCGGAAAAGATTTGTCCATTACATTTTTTAATATTTTGAATTCCACAACTAGCTTTCACTTTATTTATTATACCTCCCAAAGATTTTTTTTATGTGGGGTGAATAAAAAATGTTTGTAGGAGCGTCTAGACAAGGCATAGCCGGCCATTTAGAGGTGAATTATTTTTTTATGGATAGAGACAAAATTATTGAAAAATGACCTCCAAAATGGGCCCAGAAAAACATGTTTGGTTGGATGTCTCAGTTTCTCAAACTATAATGCCAAAAACTTCCTTGACTAGCTTGATCCAGACACACACCCAATCTTTATTCAATCAACCATCATAGGGGTATACCAAAAAATATATCCCAATTTGTACCCCAATAAAATGTATTGATATTTTAATGGTTCACACTGACACAAAATGTTAATTCAATTAAAAAAATTGCATCGAGTTTTTTTTGTCAATGTAAATCACCACACTAGCATTACACTAGCATAAAATGTCGGCGTATACCTTTGAGATACAAAATGGGGTATAAATTTTGGTATACAAATAGCTTAATTCTTAATCAATTCGCCTTTGTGGTCCATTCTCTCCTCACATCTTAAGCATTGTGATTGTGATTTGTTTAAGATGATGTAAAGAATACCAACCAATTAAATCTTTCCTTAAAAGGAATGAATGAAAATTTTGGAACATTCCATGAAATAAAGTTAAATTGTTCATGACCGTGTTTAGTTTTACACTATGTTTGGTTCGAAAAATTTGAAATGAAAAATAAAAGAAATGATATAAAAAGACCAATTTTTCTTTGCTTGGTTAGGAAGAAAGTTGTTTGTTTTTATGAGGACCAATTCATGCCCACTAAAAGTTCAAGTTTATTAGAATTAGAGATTCAGAGATTTTTTTATTCCGTGACTTAAAAATATATTGTACGTGAAGTATTAATTTCCTAATAAATATGGGTGACGAATTGTGAAGTCCTACAAAAATTTAATCTTGTAATTGTGGTTAGCTGATCAAGTGTGCGTTGCGTGTTTCAAATTGTATGTGATAACTTTGTGGATTATTGTCTTCCTTTGTAGCATCTTATCATATTCCTTTATTTTTTTGAAAAAGACAATAATAAATGGACTCAAAGAAAAATATCTAGCTAACAGCACTCGAAACAAACAAAATGAGCCAACTCACACTACTCTTAACAATTTCTCTAAACTCGGTTGACAACAACTTCAATTGTTCTGAAAAAAATCATCGAACAATTTATTCTCAAAATTAATCCCACATGCTGTCTGAGAATTAGTATTTTATTTCAATTTATACATTTTAATTCTAAATTTTAAAATCCAAAGAAAGTTGCATGAATTTCAAATTAAACTATGGTATGAATGATCGAGAAGAGTTTGAGTCTAAACAAAATCTAATACTCCGTAGTTTTAAGCCTCCCAAACATAAAATTTGAACCAAATCTGGTTTGAAATCCAAATTCATGTTTCCAAACACACCATCAAACAATGTATCGATCTTGGTTCCTTCTCATCAAACCACTGATTAAAAATATTTTTTCCCGTACAAGGTTTCCATCTCAAGCAATAGTTTTGGTTCAAAAATGTGAAATTTGCATTGAATAGGACTAAAACATAAGTCATTTCTCAATGTAGGACTTAAATTTTTTTATTCCTTAAATAGGACTTAATAATGACTAGTGAGAATTGAAGAATAATGTCCAAATGATGCTGGAAATTTAGTTGAATAATGACTAATAGATAATGACCAATGGTCTTACATTGAGAAATGAAAACATATGGTCCTATATTGAGAAAGTCATTATGTTTTAGTCCTATTTAGGTAAATTACCCTTCAAAAATTTATTTTATGTTTGTAAATATCTTAGCTATTTGAAAATAAGTATAAAACCTAAAAAAGTATAAAGTACTAAATAAAATTAAATACTAATTAGATTAACCAAAACACAATTTTTTTTTACTCAAACTAGTTTCCTATTAAATTATGAATATCAATAAACATAAAAAGTGTAAAAATAAATTTGATAATCAGAATCAGAACCACATCGCTCACTTTTTGTTGCACATCTAATTCTCCAATAATATATCAATTCCAGATTTGAAATTGTATTTTACTCCATCCGTCCCTTAAAACCCTACCTTTCATTTTCTTTTTTCATCCGTCTCAAAAAATACTTCTCTTTTCTATTAAAAAAATCACTTTTACTCTTATTAATTATTAACCTACCTATCACATTACACTTTTTCTCTATTAATGTACCCGTCTCATCCTACTTTATTCATCACATCAAAGGCCATTTTTAGAAAATCAACACCAAAATATACTCTCCTTAAATTCTTTAAAAGTCAAAATGAGAAATTTTTTAAGGGACGGAGGGAGTATGATTCTACTATATAGCCTACGTGTCACGTAATCAATTTAACAACACGATCACATAATACTATTATCATTAACAAATTAAATTACATAGACATGATAATTCTAATGCAGGAATTCATAATAATAAAAATATTAGGTACATACGTGCATGCGTAAAGTACAACACATAACAGCAGCAACACATACCATCAGCTATCATATATGCCTCTTCACAATCCGGACAGGAAATCCACCCTTCATTTTCGACGTCATGTCCGCCGTGTACTCCGGCGAAAACCCGTCGCCCATCGCCGGAACCACCCTGAACCGCCGCAGAACTCCGGCGACCACCCTCTTCATCTGGAGCATAGCCAACTCCTTGCCCAGACAGACCCGGGGCCCGGCCTGGAACACCGGGTACTTGAACGGGTCCTTGCCCGTGAAAACCCGCTTCCCCGTCGCGGGATCCGCCGCGAGCCACCGCTCGGGGCGGAATTGCCGCCAGTCCTCCCCCCAGACCGCCGCCACCCTCCCCATTGCGTAGGGGTGGTAGCTCACCCTTGTCCCCTTTTTCACCGCCGTCCCGTCCGGCAGCACGTCGTCTGCCGCCGCAGATTTCGTGTCCACCGGCACCGGCGGGTACAGCCTCATGGTCTCGCAGAGGGCGGCGTGAGTGTACACCATCTCTTTCATTTCGTCGTACACTGGAGTTTCTGTTACATATAAATAATGTTGGAATTTATTTAGATGACAAAAGAGATTATTTTTCAACGTAAGGAGGGTAAAAAAAACTTTACGACCCAAAGCAATACCAATGAACCGAGTTCTTCAATTTATTCTTCATAAGAATAGACACAAGGTAATTTATCTAAATAGGACTGAAACATAATGATGACTTTCTCAATATAGGACTATATGTTTTTATTTTCCAATGTAGGATCATTGGTTATTATCAATTAGTCATTATTCAACTAAATGTCAGCATCACTTGGACATTATTCTTCTCACTAGTCATTATTAAGTCCTATTTAGGTAATAAAAAAAGTTTAAGTCCTACATTGGGAAATGACTTATGTTTTAGTCCTATTTAGTGCAAATTTATTACAAATAATATTTTTAAATTTTAAATTTTAAAAAAAGGACACATAAATTAAAAATAATATTTGTAATTCTTGTATGGTTGATATTATTGTTAAAAAGTACTCCTTTTTGTCTCTAAGTATTTATTCACTTTTGACTTTTTTCAATCAAAGTTGGTAAACTTTAGCTACAAATTAAATAAAGTGAAAAAATAATTTTATTAGATTTATTTTATACAAAATAGAATAAATATTCAGGAACAGAGATAGAATTAAAAAAATAAGAATGAATAAGAACCAAATTAATACTCCCTCCATTTTTTAAAACATTTCTTCTTTCATTTTTTTTATTTTTCCTAAAATACTTTTACTTTTTATTAAAAAACCATATTTCCTAAGAGTTAAAATATGAACTTTTCAAGTCACCACAAATTTACACTCCTATTTTCTCCTAAAAAAAATAAAATATGAACGGTCTTATGAAATCGAGAGTATGATTAAATAATATGGCAATGTGACCTGCGGCGGCGGCAGCTGTTGCGGCGACTTCACGAAGAATCTCATCCTCTACCGCGGGGTGCTTAAAAACGAGCCAGAAAAACCAGGTCATGGCGGCGGAGGTGGTGTCGCGGCCGGCGAGGATGTAGCTGATGACGATGTCGGTGATGAGCTCGTCGTCGTCGGAGTGACCGCTGGTCAAGAACCGTGACAAGAGGTCAACGGAATCTTGTGTCGGCGATTTCCCTGCCAGCTCAACCCGCTTTTCCCGGATCAATCTTCTGGCGAATCCTCGGACCTGGCCCACCACTTCGCGAAGCTTCCTTTCCGACCCTACGTTAAGGGCCCGCTTCACTTTCCATACCAGAGGCATGGCCGAGTTGAACCTACGTGCCCAAAATTATTTGTTATGGATATTATTTAAATCATCCATAAAAACAAAATACTTTTGGAACAGATCTTTCAATAAACGTAAGAACTACTAGTATTCTGTATTCGTATTTATGCATAAATATATTTTAGAAAAATTTAATAGTTCAAAATTTACAACTTTTGATTACTCCCTCCGTCTTCCTAAGATG